CTCTCTCTCTCTCTCTCTCTCTCTCTCTCTCTCTCTCTCTCTCTCTCTCTCTCTCTCTCTCTCGCTGGCCTCATGGTACTGTGCCCTTGCTAGGATGAGCAAAATCGAATGAATCTGGCGCTATAGCGTCGGAATATACACTCTGTGTGTGTGTGTGTGTGTGAGAGAGAGAGAGAGAGGGGCGGCGAGGTCGCCACCTCTCTCTCTCTCTCTCTCTCTCTCTCTCTCTCTCTCTCTCTCTCTCTCTTCGCGGCTGGCCTCATGGTACTGCGCCCTTGCTAGGATGACCAAATTGAATGAATCTGGCGCTATAGTGTGGGAATATACACTGCCATACTTGTTTTTGTGTGAGTGTGTGTGTGTGTGTGTGTGAGAGAGAGAGAGAGAGAGAGAGAGAGAGAGAGCGAGGGCCGGCGAGTTCGCCGCGACTCTCCGTGCAGGTCGCCGCCTCTCTCTCTCTCTCTCTCTCTCAGGCGCGCGTTTTTTTTTTCCATTTTTTTTCCGTTTTTTTTTTCGTTTTTTTTTCCGTTTTTTTTCCCCTTTTTTTTTTCCGTTTTTTTCGTTCGTTTCACTCCGACGTTGGAGATGCCTGCGCCCGGTAGTCCGAGCCTCGGCACGGGTCGGCGTACCGGTCGGCCGAGGCTCGGACTCCATAGCTGGGCCAGGTACTGGTGGTTTAAGACGGTAGCGCTCGCCCGGGTTGTTTCTGGGGAAACAAAAAAAAAAAAAAAAAAGAACGGCCAGATCCCACTGGCAAAGAGGATTGGAAGAAGTGACTGAATCTGGATGTGTTCCACGCAGAGGTGCAGAAAAGTAGATCAATCACAATTTTTCTCACCTGTCCACCAACACGTCCACATTCAGACACGTACGACAATCCTCTTTGCCAGTGGGATCTCGCCCTTAGTCAAGTGTTAGCAGTGTTTGAAAGGGTCAGGTCAACCGCAACGGTAATAGGGGCAGCTCTACTTGTGCTTGCATTTCAACTCACCCTCTTACAAGGCTCACCCACGTTTGCACGGCATCCCTCCTTAGCGCTTCCCTGTGCAGCACTTCCCTCTGCAGCACCTGCCCGACCGGCACCAATCCCACAGTCCGCGCCCTTCAACACTGAGCCGTCACGCACCCCCGGTTCCAACAGATTGCACCTTTTACGCAGTGCAGACGCTTGCAAGATCTCACGCACGCCCCACTGCAACATTTTCGACCGGGCTTGCAGTCGTGATGGCGGCAGCAATCTGTCTTCTGGCAAACACCGCCGCAGCACATGTTGCCAACTCCGAACGCCTGTCTGCAGTGATGGTGGTAACTGCACAGCACTCCTCCCTCAAATTGGCCGTATTTGCAGTGGCCGTCCTGGCAGCTCACAATGGGGCGAAGGGGATCATCCATGGGGCAATCTGCAAAGGTCGTGCAAGGGTCGCCCTGTGCAGCATGCGCGAACCCCCTCACGTTCACAAGCAGGACAATCGCGAGAAAGCGAACAAAAGGGACAGGCCATCGCCGTGATCTTGAAGTTCCCATTCCTTGCTCTCCTGTTGGACGAGAGAATGATGTCGCTGACACAGAAAAGGAACTGAAATGCTGCATTGCCGTCACCCACGCACTCCGTCTTTCCGTCCGTCGGCAATTCCAAGAGAATTGTCCCTTCTCTCTGCTGCGCTGATGCTCGCAATCCCAATGAACGAGTGCCAGCAACGTCACCGTCACGAAGCTCACTGTTGAACGCGTGCATCCAAACAGTGGACGCAGCTTGACAGCACGAACACAATAGTGACGGCACACCCGATAACACTCCCGAGCGTGTGTCCGTGAGTGTGTCTGTGCTTATATATATGAATGAATGTGTGTGTGTGTGTGTGTGTGTGTGTGTGTGTGAGAGAGAGAGAGAGAGAGAGAGAGAGAGAGAGAGAGAGAGAGAGACTGTCGATGTTCATAGGGGGAGGGGACCGGAGGGGAGGCACAGTGACTGGCCCATCGAAGAAGCTCGGTCCTGATGCTACCGGCTGACCCCTGGCCGGTATCACCCACCTGCTGTAGCAGGTATCGCACCTGCTGGTGGGTGCAGCTCCCGCATGTTCCCTCGTTGGAGGCCTGTTCACGGATGTGGCTGCTACGGGTTCCCCGTAATACTATAATGACAATAAAAAAGGCCTGAAAGGCTGTCCTGTCCAGATTTGACAAGTAATCGAATTGGTTGGGCTTAAGGAATTAGCCTTTAAAAAAATATATATTCTTTTATAGTATATATTTTTATTTTTCAAAAAAAAATGTTTCATTAGATTGAATGTGTGCCTAATATAATAAATAAAGAAGAAATTGAATTATCAATACCTACTACGGGCCTCCCCACTCCACTGTCGAAACCGAAAACGAAAATGAATAGGGACGGATGCACACTTTCTTCCCTCTTGTGACAGGTGGAAGACCACAGGAGATAGCTGTCGTTTCTCAGGCTTGGACCCCACCGGCCGGCGGCTGGGAAAGTTTTGGCATGGAAGGGCATTTTCGGACCCCACCGGGCCGCCAGGAAGTTTTCCAGAGGTCTGGCGATGTCGATTTCAGAGCCCACCGCCATTTCCAAAACACAGCCAGCCATGTTTCTACATGGCTGGCAGATGGAAAAGTCTCTGCCCGCGGCCGGTGCTCTTTTCCAAAACACCCTCCAACAGGGTAGGGAGGGCAAAGCGCCAGCTGTTGGCATCGGGGACCTGCAAGGTTTTTGTTCCCACGGGAGGCAGCAGCCAATAGCGATGAAGAGTGCCACAAAAAAACAAAAAACAAAAACAGAAAAAAGAACAAAACAAACGAGTGCCAACGGAAACAGGCAACGATTGGCTCAACTGATTTCCAAAGGGTTTTCCAAGAGCAATTGGTCCTCCACCCTCCCCCGAGCCACTAAGCCGGCCAGGGACAGTCTTCCTCTCTACCCTCCGTAGGGAGGCAGCCAGAATCCAGATCAGAAGTGGTCGTAGCAGCCATTGGTCTGCACCACATTGTACATAACAAGAAGCACTACAATCGAGACTGCATCCCATACCAGGCGGACATTCCATAATGAGGGGCGAGGTGTGCCCCATTCAGGCCATCGAGATGATACCAATGTACATTATCAGTGAACTGTGAATTTTTGCAATTATTTAGGACTTGATAAACCACTACGACTCACTACAACATTACTGCCTCACTTCTTAATGGAGTCTGGACATGGTTACAAACAAGCACGGTACTACATTACTACAGTACTACAAACAGACACAGCACACACAACACAGATTACATACTACACAAATACTGCCAAGATGCTGGGACTCAGAACAACATCACTGAGGCTGCTCATACAAGCACACACACACACACAGACACATCTGTGCTATATACAGAAACACAGTACACACAACACATGTATGAATTTCCTGCGACTTTTCTGAATTCTGTACAGTGGGACGCTGGGCCCACTTCCCAGCAGGTGCTGCTCCCCACCAATAGATGGAGCCTCCCCCGGACCACCTTGAAGTGACTGTTCCTACCAGCGCCTTGTGATGTACCACCCTCCGACACCGTGCTATCTTTCGTACCCTTTGTCTCATTTCTTCCTTTTGTATCATAAAGGCCTCGCTCAAAGCCCCGTCGCCATTCTTGATTCCAGGAGCTTTGTTTGGGCCCTCATTTTTCGGAAGTTTTATTGATTCTTGGAATTCTGTTTTTGCAATTCCGGAAATGCATAGGAAATTGTACGCGCCTTAGCGAGCGCGATAGGAATCAGGTACGGCAGTTAGGAATTCTGCAAAATTCGGATCCCGACGTGTCCTTTTTGTGCATAAGAATTCCCGGTCACGTCGCGGAAAATGCTAGGAAATTTGTGGATTTCAAAACGTCGTAGGAATTTTCTTTCCCGCGCTTGCTTTTGCGCACGGATATGGTGATTTCAATTTTTGAATTAGTTTAGGATATAGGCAAGCTGTAACTGTCGCGGTGCCTTTTTTCTCTTGTTGCCAGCGCCATGAGTGCGAGCTTCCTCCTCCTTACTCCCCGCGCCATCCTTCCCC